CGTGTATCTCACCAGAGGGAAACATATTCTGCAGAAGGGCCCTGGGGACATCTCCTCCAGGCGCCCCGCCTGTGATCTTTTCGCACATCCGCAGATCGTCTACAGGCACTTACGGTTCCTGGGTCTGTTCACAGAAAGACATGAGACATGAGACACAGACATGAGACATGAAACAAAGCAGAAAACTTATCGGCCGGTTGAAGGCTCTACAGGTCCCATTGGGCTTAGTGGATCTGGGACAAGCCCCCAAATGTTATACCCAAATTCGTAAAGTCCCCCAAAAACCAACAAAGGAGACCAAATCCTGTATGTAAAAGCAAAGAGCCTTTATTTTATACAAGTTTGCAAACTCAGTCTCTCCGCATGTCCAATGTTTTGGCATAACTGGAGAGCCCCAGCTCAATTAGAGTTGGGTTTTTATAATAATAATGAAGGCGGGGGTGAGGGGTTTCTGAGGTTTAGGACCCCTGATTGGCTGACATTTGTCTAGGGGTGTCCTGGTGAGTGTGTACTGGCAGGTGGCCCTATCTACAGAGGTTGGAATGTTAGCATTTCTGTTCTTGGGTGGTGGTCGGGTAGTCTCAGCTTGTGGTTTTTCCTGCAACCAGGCATTGCTTCAGGGTAAACTACTGAGACTCAGGCCTCTATTAAATGTATGGATGGCTGAGTCCTACTCTGGCAGGTGATGATGGTTGGAAGTAAAGCCCTTCCTTTGGGTGATCTGTTCATATTTAGTTCATCATGGCTGGCTCCTTCAGTTGCCACAGTATAACACAGATCAGCTTTTAAGTTTACTTTTCCATGAGACAAGAGTCTCAAGTAGCCCAGGCTGGCCTTAAACTTGTAGTGTAATTGATAACCTTGAACCTTTAATCTTTTCGCAAGGACAGGGAGGGTCATGAGTTCAAGGCCTATCTGGGCTACAGAACTAGTTTAAGAACAACCAGGATGGGAGGGAGATGTTGTTGTGGGAATTCTCTCAGCCAATAGCCCTTTGAGTAGGCCCATTAGGGCGTGGTCTGAGGTACTACGCATGGACTGATCAGCACAGGCAAAAAGTGGTTTTTGCTCTCTTGGGTGAGAGCCGGAGCTCTGTTCACAGCTTCCAGTGCCCACAGAGAACTGAAACTCTCAACCCTTATTGTGAGTTTTTCCCCAAATAGATACTAGTTATCCTTTGTGGGAACAGCCGCCCCAAGTTATGCTGTCCCTGCCCCCATTTGAGGTGCTTAACTGCAAAGAAAAACATGTTTGACATAAAAAATACCCTCTGCTCCTTGAGTAGGGGAAGGACTCTTGAGTGCAAGGTGACCCTTGAACCCTGTCGGGGTCGGGTTACAGTACCTTCACAGTCCCCTCCTCATTTGGCACCATGGTATAAAAGCCAGCCCCAGCAGAACAATAAAGAAACTGTTCTACCTCAACCTCGTGCTCTGTGCATTCATTCAACCTGGACATCCTCCGCCGATTTTCTTGGTCTCTAGGCTGTGCAGGCGCAGCAATCCTTTCTCCAGGCTATCCTGAACCTTGTTAATTAGGGCAACAGACCATTGCTTAAAAATGAGGTTAGAGGGTTTAGCTCAGGGGTAGAGCATTAGCCTAGTATGCTGGATGCCCTTGGTTTAGTTCCTAACGCGCTAAAAATAGGAGGGGGAGCGGGGCAGGGTGGTGGTCCACATCTTTAATCCCACCACTGGGGAGGCAGAGGCAAGCGAATCTCTGAGTCTGAGGCCAGCCTGGTCTACAGAGCAAGTTCCAGGTCAGCCAGTGTTGCACACAGAAACCCTGTCTCTATCCCCGCCCACACACACAAAAGGGGCACAGAGATGGGACAGGGACAATGAGAGAGCTCAGTGGATAGAGGCAACTGTTGCCAAGTCTGGTGATCTGAGTTAAATCTTTGAAATCCTCCTAGTAGGAGGAGGAAATCAGCTCTTCTAAGTTGTCCTCTCGCCTCCACAAATGCTGTGTCGCTTGAGTATACGTACAATGTAATAACTTTTTTAGTGTTTAGTTTTCTAACAGTAAACAAGGGGTTGTGTGTGTGTGTGTGTGTGTGTGTGTGTGTGTGTGTTTGCTGCCAATTCAGGGCTCCATACTCACTTGGCAAGTGCCCTACTACTGTGCTACAAATCTCCAGATTAATGGTAGACTAAAAAAGTTTTTGTTAACGGGCCTGAGGAGGTTTTCCCCTTAATGCCAGCAATCTGTAACAAGGACTGATATTTGATAAGGTGGCCACAGTAAAACACAGAGCGTCATCCTGTTGCTGCAGGCCTATAATCCCAGGATTGAGGGGCCTGAGGCAGACAATAAAGAATTTGAGGCTAGCCTGGGCTACAAACCAAGATCTTGTCAAACAAAACAAACACCCTGGAACAAGAGGGTCGTTGATCATGGTATCCCACCTGCCTAGTATGTGTGCACTGACCTAGCATGTGTGCACTGGCCTGGTATGTGTATGCCAACCTGGCATATGTGTACCGGCTTGGCATGTGTGCACTGGCCTGGTATGTGTACACTGACCTGGCATATGTGTACCAGCCTGGCATGTGTACATCGGCCTGGCATATGTGTACTTGCCTAGTATGTGTGCACTGGCCTGGCGTGTGTAAAACTTCTATCCCCAGCAAAGGGAAAGAGGTGAGAGGAAGACACAGGAGGGAGTGTTTTAACCTCCAAAGAGATTTAGAAGATTAGGAACATAATGATTTTATTCTGTTAATCAGGCCAAATAGATCCCCCCCAGTCGGCAGAGACCAAAAAGTCCCGTAAGACACTCACAACAAAAAGCTAGGTAAGCAAGCTTTCTAAAAATAGATGTTTCTGGTTCTCAAAGTGGAAGTGAAAACAAGAAGCCTGGTTTGTGCTGTTGCCTGGAGTGAGATTAATATAATCACAGCTCAGGGGAGACTGTACACCCGGGCTGCTAGGCTTGGAGGAGATCTTTTTTTCTTTTGGTCCCGAACTGAAAAACTAAGTAAACTCCAACTCCTACATGGGTCAAATGTTGTGAAAGCCTTGATTTTGTAAAGAGAAAAAACAAACCTCTTTGAGTGATGTAAATTTTATCTTTCCTTGGGTCAAAGTCAAGAGCTAAGGTCAACTGTGAGGTCTTGAGTAAAGACTGACAAAAGAGAATCCATCTTCCATTGTGTATTCATTGGCTCTTCAAGCATTTGGCAGACACTACGCAAGTTTCTTGGTCCTGAATATGAAGATAAAAAGGAGACAGGTGTTTACTTTCTTTTTAAAAAGATTTATTTATTATACACTGTTCTGCCTGCATGCTAGAAGAGAACACCAGATTTCATTATTGATGGTTGTGAGCCGTCATGTGGTTGCTTAGAACTGAACTCAGGACCCCTGGAAGAGCAGCCAGTGCTCTTAACCTCTGAGCCATCTCTCCAGCCCAGGGTGTTTACTTTCAAGGAGCTTGATGTTGATGTTAGCAGGAGGCTCAAACCCTAGAACTGTGTGCTATGATGTGGCAAGGGCTGAGTAAAAGCAAACAGGGGTAGCTGGGTGCACGCCTTTAATCCCAGCACTTGGGAGGTAGAGACAGGCAGATCTTTGAGACTTCAAGGCCAGCCTGGTCTACAAGAGCCCAGGACACAGGGTTGTTACACAGAGAAACTCTGTGTCAAAAAATTGAAAGAAAAAGCAAAGCAAAGCAAGAAAAAGAAAAGAAAAGAAAAGGGAAGAAAAGAAAAGAGAAGAAAGGGAACCGGAGTCAGTAACCTACCTGGGAGATTGCAGAAGGTTCTTGGGAGTCTGAGCTGAATTCTGAGAAATAAGAACTATGTTTATTTCCTGTTTTTATTGTAACAAATTACATGCATCTAATGACTTAAACTGGGGGTGGTGCGTACACCTGTAATTACATAATTGAGCTGTCTGAGGCAGGAGGATTGTGAGTTTGAGGTCTGAGACCAGATAGACTACATAGCAAGTTAGAGGACCCCGGGTTAATAACAAGATCCTGCTGTGGAATAATCCTTCTGCACACTGTGAAGACGTGTTGTTCTCACTGTTAATAATAAAAAATAACAACAGATTGGCCAAATTCTAGGATTTGGGGACAGAGAGAATGCTGGGAAGAAGGGTGGAGGTGGAGTCTGAGGAGTCTAGAGTCAGATGCGGAAGAAGCAACATGGGAAGTTCATAGATGAGTTAAATGAGCCTTGGGACAGCACACAGATTAATAGAAACGGGTTAATTTAAGTTGTAAGAGCTGGCTGGAGACAAGCCTAAGCTATCGGCCTAGCATTTAAAATTAATATTCAGTCTCTGTATGCTTATTTGGGGAGTGTCTGACGGAACAGAAAAGCCCGTCCAAATGATGCTCAAACATCTGGCACCTATATCCACATAAGAACCAAGCAAGTTTAACAAAGGTTCAAAACGCACAAAAACAGAACCAAATGCAGCTTCCTTGTCTCATGTCTCTCATGCCCAGCTGCCGCCTGTGAGCTTGATCTGCTAGCACCAATGCTGCCAGAGTGAGCCCCACCAGCACACCGTGAACTAAGCCACATGGCGGTTTAAGTGTTGCTCATATAGACAGAAAAGTTTACAGGTACACGGGAAAGACAGATCCAGATGTGGGGGGGACCTCTAAATGGGTCACAGTGTTTTTAAAACTGTACATAGGCTTGGGAGAGAAAAGAGAAATGGTATAGATAGTTTAGAAGACGACGCCCCCTTTCCCAGCAAAGTTTGTCCTCAGGGTTAGGGACATCATTTAGGGATTGATTATAATTGGTATAAGGTTGAGGTTTGGGGGGAAATTATGTAGGCTCAGGGGTCTCTTTGAAAGCAAGAATGTCCCCTTTATTGTGTTCCAGGGCAGCTTATATAGGGATCCTTAACTGATAGCCACGCCCCAGCCAAACCCACCAGAAACCACTCCCCTGCCATCAGGAACTCCCGACCGGCTCATGCTCAGAGCAGCTGCAAACACAGGAAAACAAGTTGTTTTGCTCAGAGCAGCTGCAAGCATAACAAGTTGTTGCCAGGAAATTCAGGGTCTGGGGGTCCACAGCCCCCAACAGGATTCCATCAAAATGAATAAAGCTTCGGTTTGAAAGAGAGAAATCTCTTGAAGAGAAATGATGGCCCATCCACAGAGGTGACAACCAATCAGGTGGGAAGGAAACCTCTACGGGCTGGGGCAGGGTTCTGTTCTTGTCTTTGCAGGAAAACACTCATCTTCAGAAAGTCAAGAGACCCTGGACATCTGGATGTCTACAGAGGAAGAGATAATTATCCAGATAGGATCACCAAGCAAAGAGGACGCTTATGAGGACAGGGCATCCGAGGGTAAGAATCTCTGAACATTAACTAGAATAATAGTCATGACTCACTTAATAAACCAAAGCTGGCTTTGGAGTTGGACAATGACTCTGACCTTCTCTAAATCCAAGCATGGTGTTAAAAGAAAAATTTAGAGTTTCTGTTTCATGTCAGGAGCCATCTAGTATGGGACAGAAAGAAGAAAGAATTTAGAAAAAAATTTACTTTTCTTCATACCTATTTTTGTCTCTATCGTACCTTTCATTGAGTATATGTTCAATGAAATTAGTTAATATTAAGCCTCCGCATGATTATTTTATAAGCAGCTGTGGGGACCAGTGGGTAGGATAGAAACAGGCCCAGTGGGACTGGATGCTCTAGCTACAGCTGCCTTTTCTATTTCAATTTTCCACATCCAGTTTCCCTTGACCTCTCTTAGAAAGACCCTTAGGGTTATGTGCTGGGGTCCTCCATGTAATTAAAGATACTTTCAGGCTGGAGAGATGGCTCAGAGGTTAAGAGCATTGCCTGCTCTTCCCAAGGTCCTGAGTTAAATTCCCAGCAACCACATGGTGTCTCACAACCATCTGTAGTGAGGTCTGGTGCCCTCCTCTGGCCTGCAGGCATACACACAGACAGAATATTGTATACATAATAAATAATTATTTTTTATTTTTTATTTTTTTTAAAATTTATTTATTTATTTCTTATGTATACAACATTCTGCCTCCATGTATGCCCGTACGCCAGAAGAGGGCGCCAGATCTCATTACAGATGGTTGTGAGCCACCATGTGGTTGCTGGGAATTGAACTCAGGACCTCTGGAAGAGCAGCCAGTGCTCTTAACCACTGAGCCATCTCTCCAGCCCCAATAATTATTTTTTAAAAAGATACTTTCTGCATCTTAAGTTCTTTAATTAAGTCTATTACTATAATTTTGGTTTTTTGAAACAGGGTCTAGCTATGTGCTTCTTTAAATTTTAAGACAGGGTCTCATGTAGCCCCGATTGGTTTTGAGCTCACTATTTATTTGCCTGCCAAGTGTCCCCATGCCCAGCTTTCTTTACATGCTTTTTTAATTAATTAATTAATTTTTATGTGTATTGGTGTTTTGCCAGAATGCGTATCTCTGTGACAGTGTTGGATCTCAGGAACTGGAGTTACAAACAGTTCTGAGCTGCCATGTGTGTGCTGGGAATTGAACCCGGGTCCTCTGCAAAAGCAATCAGTGATCTTAATCACTGAACCATCTCTCCAGCTCCTTTTTTTTTTTTTTCTTTTTGCGATAGGAATTTCCTGTGTAGTCCTGGCTGTCTTGGAACTCACTCACTTTGTAAGTCAGGCCGGTCTCAAACTCACAGAGATGCACCTGCCTCTGCCTCCCTAGTACTGAGATTAAAGGCGTGCGCCACCACCACCCAGTTCACCAGCTTTTCTAAATATTTAGTCTTTATGAAATTCAAACCAGCAACTCACACAGTAGTTTTAAAAATAAGTTTAATAATATAATCTAAAGCCATTCAAATTTGATGCATGCTGATGAATGACTGTTAAAACAATTCAAATTCTTATTGCAGCCAATTTACAGAAGAAACAGAAACTTGGAGAAGCGCAGCAACATATCAGGATGACCTTAGAGCTTAGTGTAGTCCTAGGCTTGAAGTCCTAGGGCTTAGGGGACACATTTATGTTCTGTCCCAACATGATCTTTGTTTTTGTTCCCACACATCTGCCTTTATTGTAAACAGCAGTTGGGACACTTGTAGCAATGGTTAAAAAAAATTAATTTACAAAATCAGGGGCTTGGTGAAGCTGCCTGGTGGGTAGGTACCCTTGGGGACTCATACGTTGATGCCAACCCAGAGCAGGAGGAAGAGGACGCCAAAGCCCATGAAGAGGGACACCACTGAGGAGATGAGGAGCTCTTTGTAAATGTCACCTGTGTACTTGGTGGAGGTGACCTTGTAAATGAAGAACCAGGCGGTGAAGAAGATGCCAATGGCCAGAAGTATGACAGACAGGTGTGGGAAGACAGCTGGGCTGACCGGGCTGGTGTCCCTACTCATGGCCTTGAGCTCCATTTTGCCTCGCACACGATAAACCCCCATCCTGATCTTTGACTTCTAATGTGTCACAGTATTCCTGGGGAGCCATGAACAAATATCTCTTTGCTCCAGATAGGCAACCAAAGATAGACCAAAATATGCATACCACCAAGTCCAACTTGTGAACCATGAGTTCTCTTGGGGTTACTTACAGAATCACGGGTGAAGGGTTGGTTATAGAGGCAGAAATGAGTCAAAGAACAGCTGCATCCCAAGAGCCCACCCCATTATGACAGCTTACAAAAGTTGAAAGCCAGGAGTACACTGCACAGCCTGCAGGTAGCTCAATAGGCAGGAGAGTTCGTTCCAGGTAGCGCAATTGGTCTGAGCTACTGTCCAGCTTCTGGGCTGGTCTCTGTTTCTTCCAAGTTGCTCAGTTGGTCTCTATTTCTTCTAGGCAGCTCTGCTTATCTGAGAGCATCTCCCAGCCACCATTACTGCTGACGGACTCTCGGGGTAGGAGGGACCTACTGAATCTGGTCAGTTTCAGAGACATCCTGAAGCTCTGGAGTGGTTTACTTTGTGAACATAAGGGGCTTCCCTGATGAGATGTTCCATCTCGCCTTAGAACGTTCTGTGTCTCAACACAATTTCCTATGAAATGGAAGGACTTAATCTGGAAATTGCTGTACAACAGCTTTCTCAAAAGCTGCTGGGACTCGTGATTTCCTGGCAGGTCCCCAAACAACCTAGAACATGCAGGAGTGTACAAGATGACATTTGGTTGTGGCAGGGAGTCCAACACAGGGCCAGGCTTTTGTTCCCAAGGGAAATGCTGCCAAGACACGAGAGGCTTACTGTCTCCCACACTGCCTGTTTCCAGTCTTAAGGGATTAAAAACAGCCTCCCTCCTTAAAGTGAACACCCACTTTTCGTCCTTCTCTGCTGGCTGATTCCCTGGGTTGGATCTCTGAGGGTTTCAATTATACACAGTTCTCAAAACCCAGTTCCTACACCACCCTGCCACATCCTTCGAGGAGTCTCTCCTGATTTCATCCCCCAGGTCCTTCCTGCTCATCAAGCTTGTGTGAGCCCTTTGTCTTACGATGCGTTCACTTCCTTGCTCTGACTGGATTGAAGTGATTGAGACCTCGGAGTCTCCATCCCCTCTCCTGTAGCACTCAGATAACATTGGGAAGATAAAGTAAAAAGAAACAATAGAAGAGCAGGGGTGTAGCTCAGTGGTTAGTGCTTACCTAGAAAGGTTCTGACTCCATACCTAAACTGTGTGTGCGTGTGTGCCTGTGTGAGTGTGTGTGTGTGTGTGTGTGTGTGTGTGAGAGAGAGAGAGAGAGAGAGAGAGAGAGAAAGAGAGAGAGAGAGAAAGAGAGAGAGAGATGAAGGCAGGTCGAGGTGCACTTGTGGAGACCAGGGGACATCTTTGGGGAATCCTTTATCTCATTCCACCTTTACACATATTCCTGGGATCAAACTTGGTTTTCAGGCTTGTACAGTCAGTGCCTTTGCCTGCTGACCTTCACCAGCCCTGAGTATAGCACAATCACATGCCAACACACACACACACACACACACACACACACACATACACACATGTACACACAACACATTCATTCACAGAGACTGGCTTCAAAGTTACTATGCAGTCAAAAATTAGTTTGAACTACTTCTCCTACCTCTATCTCCTGAGTGTTAGGATTAGGGTCAGGCACCACCATCCTTGGTGCTGAGTGACTTGGTACCCTAATTGGCATGAACCATGTGCTAGTTTACATATGAATGGCCCCCATAGACTCATATATTCATGCTTAGTCCCCAGGGAGTGGCACTATTTGAAATGATTAGAAGATTTAGGGGGAGTGGTCTTATTGGAGTAGGTGTGGCCTTGTTGAAGGAAGGGTGTCACAGGTTGGGGAGTGGACTTTTAGTTTTCAAAAGCCCATGCCAGGTTTAAGCCCCCCCCCCACTCTCTCTCTTTCTCTGAGAGAGGCTACAGATGAGGATTCACGCCACCTTGACTAAAGGTCAGAGAGTTCAGGCCTATTCTTGCTCCTTCAAGGTTATATGACAGGAGGTTTCACCCAAGGTGTTGCTACTAACAGGATATCTTGACCTAGGGTGTGGTTACTTGGCCTTTTGTATTAAGAAGACAAAAGAAGTCTTTTGCCTTCTTCTCCCCTTTTGGATTGGGGTTTATAAAGCCTACGAGAAATAGATGTGAGGGGAATCTCATTATTTCCTGGATGCTCTCCCAACTCTATCAGTTGTCTCTTGGTTATTTCTTCCTTAATCCTCATGCTTCCCTCCTAATGCAGACAAATAAACTGAGCAGGACCCCAAAATGGCATCCAACATGAGGCCCGACAAAGGGTGCCTCATATGTGGAGCTTGGATATGGGAGGTAACGTGATGGACACCTCAGATGAATAAGACCCTGCAGGTGTTGAAGTAAAAATGAGCGCTTGGATAGATAACAAATGTGGAAGTGTGGGGAGTATTTATTGGGAGTAAAAAATTGTAAATAAAATTCATAGATGTGGGTCAAGAAAATAGTATTCAGCTGTCTGTAAATTTACTTGGGTATATTTTGAAAGCAGGAGAACTGGGATAAAGCAGCAACGAGTGCAGAAATTTTTTGAGTTTGTAAATAGTTTAAACTTTCTGTTCCCTCCCCGACACTGGTGGGGCAGCTGCCACTGTATTCCAACTGCTCTAGGACTCAGGGAAGTGAAGTTGCCCTCCGCCCATGCTCCTAATCAGCTGGAGCTGTGGGTGCTGTAGTCTCAGAGCTGCAGCACTGCCACGACTGAGCAAGCAAGGGAATGAGCAAGACAGCAAGCAGAGAGCAGGGTGTGTGGCCTGGCAAGGGCCGCAGGCAGAAGCCTCCAGGAACTGCCCCCACAACCAGGGCCTCCCAGTCCCTGGCACTGGCAGGACAGCTCTAGCCCTGCCCTAGCCAGACAGATAACAGCAGGCTGAAGCCGCCAGGAACTGCCTTCACAACCAGGGCCTCTCAGTCCCTGGCAGGACAGCCATGTCATGGAGAGCGCAACTCTAACTCTTCCCTAGACAGACAACAGCAGGCCGCAGCCTCAGGGAGCTGCACCCACCCAGCCAGAAGTCTGTGAAAATGCCAGTGCTTCCCAAGCTAGCCTGTGAAAACGCAAATGCTGCCTGTCAGCTAATGGGAGTTTTGCAGCTTAGATTAGAAAAGATGACTTGCAAACTTTGAATGATTTTCAAAAATTATTGGGAGATATTCAATGGCTGAGACCTATTTAAAATTGCTTAAGGCAGATCTTGAGCCCCTCCGTGAGATTCCTTTTTTATTTTTTTAATATTTATTTATTTAGTATGGCTTTATTTTACTGCCATTTCAGCAATGGTCCATGTGTTTCTCACCAACCAATTGTCCAGTACACCCACCATCTGAGGTGCAAATGCAGCATCTTCAACAAACCTTCCAGTTCAGAAATCGCTGTGCCTCCTTCCCTCAAACTAATTGCATTTGCTCAGTTTTTAAGCCAAATTGATAATCATTTTCCAGCTGATCAATTGCTGGAATTTGCATCAGTACATTTCTTTATTTTGTCTAATATTGTGATGAAAGATTCCTTAAAAGATGCTATGTTGGACTGGAGAGATGGCTCAGAGGTGAAGAGCACTGGCTGCTCTTCCAGAGGCCCTGAGTTCAATTCCCAGCAACCACATGGTGGCCCTTGTAATAAGATCTGGTGTCCTCTTCTGCCTGTAGGCATACAGGCAGGCTGAACATTGTATACATTATAAATAAATAAATTAAAAAAGATGCTATGTTAACCTTTACAGATGGTTCTTCTAATGGAAGAGCAGCATATATTATTGATGGTAAAGGATATGGAGCGCAAACAGACCCAGACTCAGCTCCAATAGTTGAACTGTGAGTTGTTGTTGTGGTATTCCAGCTTTTTGTAAATAATGCATTTAATTTATATACTGACAGTCATTATATTTTTAGAGTTCTTCAAGTCATCAAGACTGTCCACTGTACTGGAACTAGTAATTGTCAAATTAAAATACAGCTCCAGCAAATTCAAGATGCCATTTATCAAAGAAAATTGCCATGCTTTGTGGGTCATATGAGTGCACATTCAAATCTCCCTGGTCCTTTGGCTGAAGGTAATGCTTTAGCTGATAAGGTTAACTCAGTTGATTTCCTTATCTTAACTTGAGCTTACTCAGTGATCACATGCTTTACATAATCAAAATAGAAAAAGTTTAGGAAAGCAATTTGGTTTAATAAGAGAAATTGCTCATCAGATTATTAAGCACCATGCTATATGCCCAAAATATTTACCTGTACCTCATCTTGGAGTAGATCCTCAAGGTCTGTTTTCTAATCATTTATGGTAAGTGGGTGCCACTCAAATTGCAGAATCTGACAAATTAAGATATGCATGTGGCAATCAATACGTATTCAAGTGTCTTAATGGTCACTGCACCAACTGGAGAAGCCACTAAGCATACGATAACTCAGTGCTTAAAGTATTTTTCATATGTGGGAATTCCTGAAATTATAAAAATGGGTAATGGATCAGGATATATAAGTAAGGCATTTCAGCAATTTTGTTTCTAATGGAATACTGAGCATAAAACAGGAATTCCTTATAATCCTCAAGGACAAGGAACTGTAGAGCATGCCCGTGGTTCCTTGAAAGCACAACTTCAAAAGAAAACGAGGGGGAATATACCCTCAGTGGTCACATAACGCTTAAAGTCGTGCCTTCTTCATACTAAATTTCTTGAATATGGATACCCATGAGCAATCTGCTGTGGATAGATTCTGGCATGATGGCACCAGAATGACCATTGCTAAAGCCAAATGGAAAGACCCTGCACTGGATTATGGAAAGGACCTGGCCCTGTTTTAATATGGGGTTGAGGGCATGTCTGTGTTTTTCACAGGAAGAGAATGAAGCTCGGTGGTTTCCTGAAAGTTTGGTGCAGTGTGTGAAACAAAAGAGTGCCAACCCTGATGATGTCATGGATGCCAAGGTCCACCTCCCAGGAGAGTTGCACTGAAATTGCTGAACCTGTCTTCCTGACCCTCTGATGCCATCATTCTGCAGTCTGAAAAGGAAAGGAGGTTATCGGAATGGTTGGTGATAACCAACTTCCTGATAGACCTGCTGCACAGAATTCTAGACCTCCGTGAATCCTGTTTGCTTTGGAGCTGGCCCAGAAACGCTGACTGAATGTTTGGCCTTCTATCTGCAAAATATCGCGGGATGCAGACGTTACCTTTGACAGTATGGTGTTCAATCTGCTCTTGAAATAGAGGACTTGGAGAACTGAGACCTCAGAAATTTCTCCTCTTGGGGAAAAAGACTTGTTAAAGCAATAAAATACTGTTATGAAGGCAACGTGTGACTAAAGCCCCTTTAGTATTTTGAGGAGGAGTAGTGTAAAAGTTTTTGCTGCTACTCAGGGACTGGAACAGTTCAAACATATCTTTGGAAGTTTGGTAGCAGTAATGCAATTGACTATAGGAGAGGAAAAAGACTCATAGCTCACATATCCCAGAAACTTTTTCTTGTTTTTTGATTACAATGAAGTTATGAGAATTGGAACTTGACAAATTGTGTGTTTATTGATGATTTTTATACCAGAATTATGGCATTGACCTGTTAATGTTTGCAACTACTTTGGTTCATTATAAAAAATGTTACTGATTAGAAAAAGGTTAGAGTTTATCTGAGAAAATTTGACATGATGCCAATGAGTCCTTAGATTTGAGATATTTGATTAGACAAATTTGGATTTTGATGCAGCTAAAACTATTAAAGACATACTAGACCAACTTAAAAAGGCCATCCTATCTTGGTCATCCTTTACTCCTTTATTAGGAGATATTGTGGCCATAGGTGCGTGTATCACAAAGCATTATCTGCTTGCCTACAATTATCTAATTACTTGTGAACTCTCTCAATGGAAAGTTGGCTTGGAGGTGCATGGCCTCTAGCTATGCACTCTCCCTTAACCCTTTATGAACAGAGGTTGATAGTCAATGGCAGGTAAGATCTTTTTACCTCCAGGCAATCTAAGACAGAGTATGCATGATGGAATGTGTGTATGGATGACAGGTAAGTCTGGAAGGTGGGAGAAGACAACCTAAGACAGGCACAGTTATCTGTCCTGTAGCAGACTTTGATAAATAAATAAATAAAAGCTCATCTGTGGGAGCTCATAGATGTGGTTTCATTCCACCTTGACTAAAGGTCTAAGAGTTCAGGGCTATTCTTGCTCCTTCAAGGTTCTATGACAGGGGGTTTGACCCAAGGGGTGGCTATTAACAGGATGTCTTGACCTAGGGTGTGGTTACTTTGTGTTTTGGGTATTATGAAGATAATTACTTTGTTTGCTCCTTGTATCATGGTAAAGAAGTCTTTTGCCTTCTTCCCCCGTTATGGATTGGGGTTTATAAAGCCTATGAGAAATAGATGTCAGGGGAATCTCATTATTTCCTGGATGCCCTCCTAACTCATCAATTGTCTCTTGGCTAATTCTTTCTTAATCCTCATGCTTCCCTCAAAGCATGAATGAATAAGCCAGCAGAGACCTGACATCTCTCTCTCTCTCTCTCTCTCTCTCTCTCTCTCTCTCTCTCTCTCTGCCTCTGGATCAAGATGTAGCTCTCAGCTACGGCTCCAGCATCTGTTTACATATTGGCTTGCTCCTGGCCATGATGACAATGGACTAAACCTCTGAAACCATAAGCAAGACCCCAATCAAATGTGTTCTTTTATAGGAGTTGTCTTGATCATGGTGTCTCTTCACAGCAATAAAATGGTGACTAAGAGAGTCTGCATACACACACACATCTCTTTCCCAAGAATATATTTAGCAATCTGGGAGCCCACCTGTCTCTACCTGAATGAATATTCCTCTCCAAACAAAGCAATTGGGTTATTCCAATTTACAGCTCCCTAGTAACCCTTAGTACTTTGTTGTGTGTGTGTCCAAACACATAGAAGGGAAATAGGCCGATTCAACCTAACCTGGTTTTGGATGCATTCACAATAAAGCAAACTGTCTCCTCAAATTTGGGGATGATCTCCTATCTACCATCTTAACCCTGTACATAATTAGGCATGTATATGATTCAAATCAGATGCATCATGAGACAGGACTGAACAAAGTCTTATATAATTTAAACCTATCCATCAAAATGAAAAACTGCCTGCATTCTTCCTCTCGTAAACCAACCTGCTTGGTTCATGGATCCACAAAAGCAAGCCTTGAGCAGTCCTCTCACACAGAGTCCATTGCTGTCCTGAAGAGAGCTTTGCTTCTGAAAAAAAATGTCAGCTGGGTGTGGTGGCACAAACCTTTTCTTTTCTTTTTGGTTTTTTAAGACAGGGTTTCTTCTGCAGCTTTGGAGCCTGTCCTGAAACTAGCTCTTGTAGATCAACTGGTCTCAAACTCGCAGAGATCCGGTTGCCTCTGCCTTCCAAGTGCTGGGCTTAAAAGTGTGCATCACCACTGCCTGGCTGGCACATGTCTTTGATTCCAGTACTCAGGAGGCAAAGGCAGGTGGATCTCTGTGAGTCTAAGGCCAGCCTGGTCTAGAGAGCAATTTCTAGGACAACCAAAGCTGTTACATTGAGAAACCTGTCAAAAAAAAATCCTTGCCACTTTGCCATTTTTTGTGTGCTACTTCAGGTCTTTGAACAAGATACCAAGTGTCCAGAAGCACAAAGCCTAGATTAGTGATCTATTCTGTCTCTTTAAAAGACAGGCCATGCCCACTCTCCCCCATATGCTGAGGCAGGAAGATCTTCCTTCCTGCTTGCTGCCGGACTCTCTGCCTCTTCCATCTCCCTTTTGGAGAGGCAGCTTCTGTCTCTCTTCTCTCTCTCTCTCTCTCTCCTCTTCTCTCTCTCTCTGCTCTTCTCCCCTTCTTATTTCACCCTCCATAACCCACTAAATAAATATCCAACCTTACTCTGCATGGCGTGCCTATCAATGTCTGCCGTGTGTCTCCCTGCCTGAGACCAGCTGCCTTTGCCTTTGGAGATCTGCGGCATGGTCGTATGTGCCATCCGTGCCTGGGACTGGCTGCTCTCAGAACCCACTGCCCTGTGCCTGCCACCATATGGCCTGCTGCCTGTTGCCGCTCGGGGACATGCAGCATTTCTGCCACTGCAGCTACTTGGGGATCTGCAGCATTTTAATTAATCCATTACACTAGAGGCCACCAGAAACACTTGATGAGCCATCCAGAGGCAATAGAATGAATTTTCTTCTGCTTCACGGATGCAAATTTCTCTCTTGTCTTTTTTTTTCCTGGCCCTTGATGTTAGGTAATACAAAGGCAAAGGCAAATGGGACAAGACATGTCGGGGTCCAATTCTAAGAGAACAAAAGTGGCCAGGATGGAGAAGACAGTGAAGGTTAGGAAGAAGGTTACAGGTGTCTTCCTTGCTGGACTTGGGACAAACAACTAACCAAACACACTCAATGGTCTAAGTGAAATGTAACAAAGTAGATCCTGGACCTGTGTTCCAGTGTTGTTTCTACTTTATAAGAAACAACAAGACTTAGTTGCCATTTGGAATTTTAAGGTATTTTTTTTTTCTTCCTTCTTCCCTCACCCCTGCCCCTCTCTTCTCATTTTTCTTCCTTTGGTTTGGGTTACAGATTGTCATAGTCTTATAGGAGCTGACTAAACAAAGCCCTGAGGACTCTCTCATCTGAAGAGATGGTCCTGCTAGGTCCTCTTATTCTTGAAATTCAAAAACTGCGATTAGGCCAGAGATAGGTTCTGTTGGTAGAGTGCTCGCCTATCATGCAGGAAGCCCTGGGTCCAACCAAACCCGTTGGAATGGAACACACCTGTGATCCTAGCACTCGGGGAGGTGGAGGCTAGAGAATCGGAAGTTCAAGGTCATCCTCAAGGTCAACCTGAGCTATAGGACCTAAAGATTGGCTTTTAGATTTTATTGAGTAATTACCATGCTTATATGCACCAGTAAGTAAGCAACTGAAAAGATAAAGAACCAGGCAGTGGTGTTACATTGCTTTAATCCCAGCACTCGGGAGGCAGATCTCTGAGTTTGAGGTAGCCTGGTCTACAGAGTGAGTTCCGGGACAGCCAGGGCTACACAGAGTTTTGTTTTGCCTAAAACAAAAAACAAAACCAACCAACCAAACAAACAAACAAAACAAGAAAAAAAGGAAAGGAAAGGCAAGGAAAGGAGGGAAGGAAGAAAGGAAGGAAGAGATCAGCAGATAAAGCCACCCATCTGCTAGGTTGTTGTACGGCCATCACAAATGATTCTTACCCTTCTTTTGATGAATTGGCTTCTCACAACTTCTTCAGACATTTCATTGCTATATTCCAACGACATGACTTCACCAGACTAGAACATTTCCTACATTCAAGGACGTAATCAATCTCTCTCTCTCTCTCTCTCTCTCTCTCTCTCTCTCTCTCTAACATAAACTGATACAATACAGAGACTCTCCTCTAGATTGAGCATCTGAACTGCTTTATGGATAGTGCTTTTCTCTTTTCCTACCCAGACTCCACAGAAGAAGGCCCTGTGACACCACCATGCCGCTTCCTCGACTTACTTGACTGGGCACGTGGCCTGACAGGACTTCACTCTTATGAGTCATCACTCATAATGTAGCCATGGTTACCATTTCTCCCTCAATTCTCATTCAAGCAGATAAACAGCCCATGCACCAATGCCTTTCACAAGGCGCTCATTGGAAGGAGGCCGGGTTCTCTAATTAGAGAGTGTCTAAAAGCCACCCTCTCCGCCCAAGGATACTCCACCTAGAAAGAGAACACAGATTATAGAGGGACTCTGTTCAAAGACAAAGTGGGACCAAAAAGAGACTTCACAATGTCTAAGGCTAAAGCTGGAGGCTTTCTAAGGGGGTTGTCCTTGGAATCTTCAGCTTCACCCTACTCTTCAAGGAGAATTCTCTTTTGATGCAAGGTCGGTTCAATAGTTTTCTGTTTTATCCTTTCCTTTCCATTACAGGTCATTGTGGAGAACTCCCCTTCCGTTCTAGTGGACTCCCCTCTCAAGTGTACCTTTAATCAATAGCAAAAGTTTGACCCAGACAACCTTAGAAAATGGCACACCATATTGATCGATGTGCTTGGTTGTTGGTTTGTTTAATGTACACTGGTGTTTTGCCTGTATATATTTTGTGCAAAGGTGTCAGATCCTCTGGAATTGGAGTTATAGATGGTTGTGAGCTGCCCTGTGGTTGCTGGGAATTGAACCCAGATCCCCTGGATGAGCAGTCAGTGCTCTTAACCACTGAGCCTTCTCTCCAGCCCCGGTCCATTAAATTTTACTGGAACACCTCCTAGCTCCAATACAAACTGGAGTGTGGAGAGAGATGGCAGTTTCTGTATTTGATAATTGTTTGTGTGGACTGTAAGAGCCTTTAGGGTAGGAGATAAAAAGGATGCAGGACTTTAAATCAAAAGCGTCCATCTGTGTGGCTGAGGAACTAGACACAGGATCTCCATGAATGTGTTCATCTCCTCAGGTCCATCTTGAAGGTAACGATGCTAATAGATATTTACCTCGCTGCTCTGTTCTGCTTCCCAGGTGCCCGCCTGTCACACATTCTTGCTCAGCGTGGGAGGGGCGTGCAACACCAAGGTGTTGTTAACTGAATATGAAATTGCACAGACTTCTGTTGTTCTTTAGATCACCCGAAGGAAGTTTTATTTCTTATTTATGTGTGTGTGTGTGTGTGTGTGTGTGTGTGTTATGCTTTGCCATGGAATGTATGTGGAGGCCAGAGGACAATCTGTGGGAATTAGTTATTAGTTATTTCTCTCTACAATGTGAGATCCAGGAATTAAACTCAGGTCACTGGGTTTCGGGGAAGCACCCCAATCCACTGAGGCATCTGACTGGTCCTCATATATCCCAGGTTGGCCTCAAATTCCCCATGTTGAGGAGGAGGATTTTGAACTTTTGATCCTCCTGTTCCCATTTCCCAAGGACTAGTATTACAAAGCATATCATAGCATGTTTGGCTTATGTGATGCTGGGGATCAAACTCCGGGGTTAATGCAATGCTAGGCAAATCCTTTGCCAGCCTATCCCCCTCCCCGTCCCGCCCCCGGGGTAAGATTAAAATTTCAAGTTTAAGATGAGCAAACTGAGCTCAGAAAGGCATTTGCTCATTTCATGTATGAGAACCAAAGCTTGGGTCCCCCAGAGACCAACATAAAATCAGGTGGATACCTTCCAACCTCTAATCTCAGGATGTGGGAAGCGGAGATGGGAAACTTCTGGAGCAAGCTGCCTTGCCAGACTAGCTGTCCAGAGAACTCTGGGTTCTGTGAGAGACCCCCCCTCCTTCTGTATAAGGTGAATGATCAAGAAAACCAACCTGGGCCAGCCTTGGGCCCCCATACATGCACATGTGAGCTCCACATATGTGAGCATGCATACACGCACAGGCGCCACACATATGGTAAAAGTGCTTCATTCGTTCATTCAACAGAAACTTGCTTTTTGGTTTTTAACTCTATATTTATTTATTTTGTGTGTGTACATACACATGCATGCCATAGCACACGAATAGAGGTCGGGGACAGCTCGAGAAAATCGGTTCTCTCTTTCTACTATATGGGTCCAAGGAATTGACCTGAAATCTGAAATTGGCTGCAGCAGTGAGGAGAGAAGAGGAAGTTTATAGTAACCAGATTTAGTAGAACACTAGGAGAAATTTTGGAGGACACACATAATTTGGCTCCTAATACAGAGGATAGGGATGCTCTCATGAGACTAACTTTGGATGCAAACCCAGGCCCTGTAACGTCCATCTCTATTCTTTCAGTTTCAGACATCTCTGGACTGCCACGTCTAGCTACTCAACAACTCCGGGCAGAGGCGGGGCCCTGCAGCTGCAGTACAGCAGCCTGGGCAGCAGAGGGCGCGCCGGCACACGCTAGGGCCGCTCTGGCCCGGCCCTTCTCAGTGACCGCGGAAGGTGACGTGGACACGGAAGTGGTCGTCGTCGCGGCGGCACCGGTGGGAGCAGGGCCCGGGGCTGGGAGTGCGGCGAGCGAGCGGACGGGCGGCGGAGGCCTCGCAGCGGCGGCAGCGGCTCAAGGCGCAGGCGTGGTCCGTTGGGTGCGAATCCGCTGAGTCCACGAGCGGCTTCTCAGCCCTCTCCCCTGCCCGTCGGAACCCGGGAATAGGGACCCGCTTAGCCGGCGTCATCATGACCAAGGCCGGCAACAAGGGCGGGAATCTCCGCGACAAGTTGGACGGCAATGAGCTGGACCTGAGCCTCAGCGACCTGAATGAGGTCCCCGTCAAGGAGCTGGTCAGTACGACCCCACGAGCCCCGGGAGCCCACCTATACTCCTGACGCCTGCCTTACACGGGCAGGCCCCTCTCTCAAGCCTCAGTTTCCCGATCCTTAAAAAAAAAAAAATTAGGTCTCTGGGGAGGCTGCGGTCGGCCCCAGTATTCTTATTGCGGTGTACACGTGTCACTTTGACACAGTTCCAGAAGATAGGGACCCTCTACCTACCCGACCCTGGGCTTCTTAGGGGCCAGGAGTGAATTTACCCTCGTTTCGGAAGCTCTCACAACGTCCAGCATCCTGCCGGGTCTTAAAATGAAAACCTGCGAGAGCAGTTGCTGGATGTGTTCGAGGATGAATGAATGACCTGGTCCCGGGAAGTAGGCCTTCAGATAGACCTGGGTGTGGCGCCGAACCCAGCTTCTCTAAGAAGCCTGCAATCCCAGCTGGCTGTCGTTGCCCGGAAGCTACCCTCCCTGAAGAAAGTGAAATCTCTCCGAAGGACTGACAAGGTCTCATCCCAGCTGCGCTGAAACTGTCGTGAATCGCGCTTCACCCTCCATCCTCCTCCACCCCAACCCCTATTCCGAAGTCCTCCTATTTTGAGGCCCTGGGGGCATCATACACCTAGTTGGTTGCCAATATGGAGCTATATCCTCCATCCTTGGGTTTCCTACTCTGTGCTCCCTAGCCCTGAAGTCTCACATTGGCTTCACTTTGGATGACCACACCTTCCTTTTGCCGTTAAGGGGCTACCATTGCCCTTGTCATTTGGTCTAGTCGTCCCTTCACTGTGGCTGTGTAGTGTGGCGGTTTGAATGGCCTGCCCAGTTCATATCACAGCTCCATTGCTCAATAACTGAATGTCCTCGGCAATAACTGAATGTCCAAAGCATAACCAACCTTTATATCTAGATTTCTTCATTTATTAAAATGGTGCTAACGGTTCCTATCTCCTACGTTTATGAGTATTAAAATCAATGTCAAATACTTGGAAGGTAGCAAATACTAATAGATGTAGTTGGTAGTTTCCACTCTATAGTATCCAGAAGTTTTTTTAGGTTGCCATTTGGACATTCAGGCTGACCTAGGATCCTTAACTGAACTCTAGGATCCAAGAGTTTCTTTCCCACTCTTGGAAGAGGGCCAGACTTGTGTGAGCCTGGCCCTAGGACATTCCTCTGAAACCATTTGCTGCGGGCATGTGATCATTACAGCATTCTCCTTAGGGGGAAGAGAGGGCCAGTTTTGCAGAGCCACTCTAGTCCTGGACACATTTGGAAAGTAGAGACAGGCTGTGAGGGCCTTGCTCTCACTCTGGTGCTTAGCCAGAGCCCTCCCCAGAGAAGGCATTCAGTACCAATACTGTTGGTGGATAGATGACTGAATGAGAAAATAAAATTGTAGAGCTTTATTAGATCCCGTTCCTGCCCTGAAACCTAATAGCGGGCACTAGAGGAAAATTCTCAAGTGCCCTGGGGGTTTTGAAGGATCAGTTTTCCCTGGGACATTCTATGGACAAACCCCACCTTTGCAGTCCTCCCTAGATCTAGGTTGACTGGCATTTTCCTTCTTACCCCCAAGAACATTATACTTCCACACCTTTCCCTCCTCAGGGTCTCACTCTGACCCCGGGCTAGTCTTCTATTTGACATCCTCTTGCCTTCTGAATCCTGGAATTACAGGCATGCACCATCCTGCCCACCCCTACCTACCTTATCTATCTATCTATCTATCTATCTATCTATCTATCTATCTATCTAT